TTTTCCTCTTATTTTTCTTTTTCCTTTTATTTTCTTTTCTTTTCCCTTTTTCTTTTCTTTTTCTTTATTTCTTTTTTTTTTCCTCCTCTTTACGTGAGTTTTAACTCACCACCATTGTTGCCACCCTTATGCCACCCAGCCACCACCGGCAACCCACCGTGGCCCACTCCCCTTTCCTCCTCCTTTGTTTTTTTTTTTTTTTTTTTTTTTTTTTTTTTTTTTTTATTTTTAGTTTTGCTTAGAATTGATTTAATTAGTTCTGGGTTTTGATTTTTATTATATAAAGTTTATATTTTTAGTATCAAAATCATGTCTTTGATGTTTTAAACTAATAATTTCAGATTATAATTGTGTTATAAATTTTCAAATTTTATGAATTATAAACCTAGGGTTTCAATTTAATAAAATTGGGATTTTAGGGTTCTTATGACTAATTAAATTGGGGCTTTTGTTCCTATTGGATTTTTATTGATTAATTAAGCATAAAAACATGTTTTTAATGAAGTTTTAAGAACTTTTAATCAAATTTATATTGCTGGAAATTTGGTTAAGTATTAATTTATTGTTGTTGCTTGTTTTCTAGGAAGTGATTATTTCTTAGGAGACTTTTAAGTGATTAAAAGTGGCACAAAGGATTGTTTACACGAGGTACGTACATGTCTACTTCGTTGTAAGTAGTATCATGTTTAGGTATCAAAGAAAAGAACTTAGTTTCATGATTAGAGAACACTTGGATGAAAATTGTTTGGTTATACATTTAATTAATTCATGTGCTTATGTTTATGAGACATGTTTTGGTGAATTGATTATGTTTGTATGGAATTATGGATGCAAACATGTTGAATTACATTGGAGTAATTGTTTGTATGGAATGTTGATACAAGCATAATTTTATTGGATTGGTTTGTTAACCACATTTGGATTATTAAAGGATTGGAATTGAATGGTTTAAGTGGAATGAATTTATTAATTATTCCACAAGGTTGTTATTTATTTTATTTATTAATCAAGCATGACTTGTTAGTATGTTGAGTAAAAGTGGATTGAGCCGAAATGGCTAGGTGGGTTGACTATGTTCAACAATTTGGATAATTTGGAAGTTTAATGAAATTAAAGGTCAATTTGTGATGTGATCACCATTGTCCTAAATAAGATTAAAAGTAAATTGATGTATGATTTTTATGTATGGTCTATTTGATTAAGTCGGCTATTAATTAAAATTTTAATCACGTAAAGTGAAACATGGATGAGCAATAAAACTCTGGAAAGCGTGCACTTCTAGAGTATTGACAATTATGGGTTAAGGTACACGGTGGTAGCCCGTGGCTTTTCGAGGCTTGTTTGATCAACATGTCCTTTTTCCTTTGGTATTTACATTTTTATTTTATAATGAAAGTTAGATGGGATCCTAGACTAACTTTGTGAGAATGGAGTCGTGCCCATTCTTGCATCGTGCTAAACTTTTATTTTTAAATGGTCATTTGGGACCAAAATGATTTGGTGGATTGGACAACCTCGTCTATTGCTTACTTCAAACTAAATTAATTAAATTAAATATAAAGAGTCAAGTGATTGGAATTGATTAGAAAGTAAGTTGAGTCGATTGAATTGTTTAAGTGTGGAGTCTTGATTAATGAATTCGTGTTGTATGTTTATTTACTTTAATTAGTTGAGCATGCTAGGTTTGGTACGTTGTAGCTTGTATGTACTCAGCTTTGCTGATTGCGTGCTTTTGTGTGTTTTCTTTTGGTCATGGCCTTCGCCTTTCAATGACCCTGTGATGATCCAATTATTACACTTTTATTATTGGGGAGCAGTATTGCACAGGTTAGCTTGATGATGTGAAGTTTGGTGATTTGACATACGCATTGTCAAGGGATTGGTGTGATTGAGAGTATTCGTTCTTTGTGTTGAACTTATTTATGTTTTACTACTTTAATTATGTTTTAGGACTTTGATTATTGGTTTGATTTTAAATAAGGGCCTTTACGGTTCCAATTTGTAAGCTTTTGACTTATTGGTTTTCTAAATTATATTATTTTAATATTTAAGTTGGATTTCCGCTGCAATACTTTGATAAAGCCTTAACGTTTTAACACGTGGCGGTAACATGTCAATGGTTCTCCTCTATTTTTATTTAAAGTAAGTGGTTTGGAAAAGGGAGAATTATTGGGGTGTTACAAAGTGGTATATGGGAGCTTATGTTAGATTTAATTACCACTAAAGCCAATTTTAAAATTTTTAGGCGCCTAACATTTTTAATCTAATGAGTTTCGTTTTATCTATTTATTTAAAGTTTAATCTAATTTTTTTTATTTGATTCGGAATTTATAAAAAAAAAATTGTTATTTTATCTTATTTTTGAATTATATATTTATTGTTAAATAAAATTAATTAATTAATTTATTTTATTTTCTTAACTTCCTTGCTTGTTTCATTTTATCGGTGAGATTTGGGTAGCTTTAGAAAGGGCGTATAGGATAGATTATTTCTTTCTATATGCATTGTAATTAATTCTTTTGTCTTTTTATTATTTTATGAAGTGATTATGCAAGTTATTTAATTGTGTATGTTTTATCTAAAGGTGCTATTTAATTGTGATCACCTAGTATCATGTTTAAGGTTTAAAGCATGTAATATGGAACCTATATGTGATGATTTGTCCTATATGACATGTGTAAATTAACTTTATGTGAAGCATGTAATTATGTGATTATTATAATGTGTTTATTTAATTATATTATTTACTTGATGCATGGATTTTTGGTGGAATTGAATCAAGGGAATTATTTTATTTAATTTTCGTGTGCATAGGAATGATTAAAATTAAATAATCATTTCCTTTAAAAGTGATTTATTAGGGGCGATTGTGTGGCCGTGTCCACCTTTCTACCTTAATATATATATATTTGATGATTATGAATGTGATTTATTGAGCAAGTGAGTTCTTTCGTGTTGATGTCGGCCTGAGAGTGTGTTACATTTCTAGGCAGAGAAGGAGGATGGCTAACAACGATGCTCTAGCTGATGCTATTAGGCTCCTAGCTGAGAACTTAGTAATTCTAGGTTAAAAGCTGAGATTAGGTTACTAAAGTTGGAAAAGACTAATATGCCCCCTTTTAATCCTTCCCTCCATCACCCATAATTAAACCCCTTCCCCTTCCATTTATGTCGATTTGACACAAACCAAATTCAACTTTCAAATTTCATCTCTCTCTCCTATGCTCTCTGTTGAATTCACCTAGTAATCCTAGGGTTTTGCAAGGGAAATTCGCTAATTTTGTTGGTCTACAAAGCCATTAGAGGATAATCTTGCATAATTCAGGTACTTTAGCACTACAGCTGTTCATTAATGCATGATTTGGTGCAGTTGTTTGATGTTCTGTTTTTCTATGCGTTTTGAGGTTTAATTCTTGATTTAAATGTTGTATATTTGTGCGATTTTAGGGTTCTTTCATGTTATTAGGTGCGTGATTATGTGTGTTCAATTATTTATGTAGAGTATGGATTTAATGTGGATGAAATGGCATGATCCTGTTTCATTGATTGTATGATACCTGAATTGGAATTTATTTGCATATTTCATTGATTGTTGGATACTTGAATTGGGATTTATTTGCATGTTGTAGATTGTTGTATAGCTGATTTGGAATTTATTTGCATGTTGTAAGTGTGTATATTGTTTACCTTCTTTTGCAGAATGGGTGATGTGGTGTTAAGGTTTCATTACTTAGATAAGCATGTTGATCTTGCTGTTGACTTAGATAGATGTAATTTGATGGATTTGGTTATGGATTTTGAGGACACTGCTGCAGTAGACACTGTGTTCCCTATAATTAACCCTACCTTTGGTTATGGTTATAATGAAAAGATTCACCCTTTACTAGATGATGCTGATCTTTTTAAAATGATTCATATCCCAGGTGAGTGAGATGTATCACATTTGGGTAGGTTTTGGCAAGAAACCAAGTGCCTTGAATAGAATGACTAATAGGTTAAGGAACAAATCCAAATCTGCACAACAATTTGCTGCACCTTCCCAAACTGTACCTCCTCATGTTGCTGATCCTTCCCAAACTGCACCACCAAATGATCTTCCCCCTCAGATTGAAACAGAACAAACAAATCAACCCACTCAGAATGAAACAACCCAAACAGATCAACCTTCCCTTGAAGGTATATCCCAAGATGAAAGAAATGATACTCAATCTGCTGCTAAGTATACCAAGGGTAGAGTTGAGTTTAAGAAGATTATGGAGAGGATAGAGAAGTCAAAGAAGACTAAGGGTAAGGGTAAGGCTAAGGATACAAAGAGTAAGAAGAGTGCTACCACCAAATCAACCCCAATGCAACCACCATCTCCTAGGTCACCTTATACTGTGTTCAAGACATTAACTTTGAGAAGGAGCCCTAGATTTTCACCTATTCCAGTCACTGACACAGCTGCTCCTAGTGTTGAACCATTGATTAATTCCTCTCATAGCTCTGTTTTTGCAAAAAAACTTCCTAGAACCACAACATATAGGAAGGGGGTAAGGGTTGGCAGTACTGTCACTGAGAGAATAATGCTTGGTGTAGGTTCTGGTTTGGATTCTAGTCAGGTGGAGAGACTTAGAGTTAGTGTGAATGAGACAGAAGTTGAGGACCCTAGTTATGGTTTCAAGGGGAGAAGAAAGATGGACTTTGCTGTTCAGAGTGATTCATCTGCTATGCATGGCAGTCAGGAGGGAGACAATAGTTTGGGTGTTACTGAGGGTCAGGAGGTGGGTCTTAGTTCTGGTTTAAAGGTGAGAAGAAAAATGGACTTTGTTGTTCAGAGTGATTCAGAAGAAGACAGTGAAGGAGAAGTAGCACCAAAGGGTGATGTGCCTGAAGATGAATTGGTGTAGCTTCAAAGGATTCCTAAAATCAAGGATAACTGGAAACCTAGGAAATGGTTTGACTTTTTAGATGATGAAGATGATGAGGATTACTTTAAGAGACTTTACAAGAATGGAGAAATGTATGAGGATGCTGATTTTGGGAAGATAATACTAAGGCCATGGATGAATTTCACTGATAAGGCACACATTAAGGATACTCTTAAGGACTTTGCTGTACAAGAGAGATTTGCAATCAATGTGGAGTATGCTGACAACAAGAGGTATACAGCAGTGTGCCAATCTTAGTGTTGTGACTGGAGGTTGCATGCAAGCAGGCTTGCAGATGGTAGAACTTGGGCAATTAAGAAGATTTGGCCCAATGTACACACTTGCAGAGGTTTAGAAACATACAACCCCATATGCAATGTTAAGTGGGCTTCCCAGAAAGTTATGGAAGACATCAGAGCTAACCCAGACATTCCTCGGAAAGCTTTAAATGAACTTCTATTATAAAGATATGGCATCTACATGAGACAATCTACTTTGTATAGGTTAAAGAGTTATGTAATTGAGCAGCTCTTTGGAGGCCATGATGAGTCATACTCATTGTTGCCTATGTATGCTAAAATGTGCATTGAGACTAACCTAGAAAGTTTAGCATTTTGTGCATGGCAAGAAATTGAGTCCCTGCCTAAGCAGCTGCAGTTCACAAGTATCTTCATTTCCTTCTCTGGACAGTGGAAAGGACTTCTCAGAGGAGTTAGATCTTTGATTGTGTAGATGGAACACACCTAAAAGGTAATTATGGGGGAATTCTGCTCTCTGCTGTGGGAATAGATGCCAATAATGAGATCTTTACCATATCCTATGCTATAGTGAGCCAAGAAGAGAAGGAGTCATGGAGTTATTTCTTCTGGCATTTGCTGAAAATTGTCAAGGAATCCTCAAGGGAGCATTGGACAATCATATCTGATAGGCAAAAGGCAAGTGCTTAAGTGTGAATTGAGTTTTTATAGTTGTTATGTAACTTTTGATTGTTTATTGGAGCATACTAATCTTGTTCATCATTGTTTCAGGGAGTGGAGTTAGCCTTAGACAATGTGTGGCCAGAAGCTGATAGAAGATTCTGCTGTAGACACCTCAGTAGGAATTACATAAAAAATTTTCCAGGCCCCATGATGTATGTGCTATTTTGGAGAGCATGCAATGCAACTTCAGCCTTTTCATTCATAAAAGCTATGGAGAAGCTCAAGAAAGAGGGAGGTGATGATGTCATGTGTTGGTTTGCAGACTTGGGAGAACAATCCAAGTGGAGTAAACATAAATTTAACCCTAATGTCTGCAATGAGACAAATACATCTAATTTTGTGGAAAACTTTAACTCCACACTTAGAGTTAATAGGTGTAGGCCTGTATTAACTCTGCTAGAAGGTATGTTGTGCATATCTTTATTTTGTTGTCTTTATACTGTGAATATAAAAGGTCCTGCAATGTCTGATTTAGTGCTAATGTGCAGGAATAAGGAGGGTGTGTATGGTGAGAATTGCAACAAGGATGGAGAATGCAAATTCCTGGAAAGATGAAGACATATGTCCTAAAATTGTGAAACTGGTGAAAAAGATAGGCAAGGCAAACTCAAATTATAGAGCTTTCAAGTCCAGCCCAGGAGAGTATGAAATCCATAAAGGTAGATCTCAGTTCCCTCTGAGTCTTAACAATAAAATTTGCAGTTGTGGTGCATGGCAATTGTTAGGGGTGCCATGTAGGCATGCCATTAGGGCCCTAATTGATGCAAAGTTAAACCCACATGATTTTGTTAGCTCCTGGTACTCTGTCAAGGCATATAAGCAAGCATATAGTGTATGCATTAGCCCTATTCCAGACACAGAACAATGGCCTGCTGATGACTCTGGCAGAATTATCATGCCACCTAAGATGAAAAGGGGAATTGGAAGACCAAGTAGGAATAGAAAAAGGGAGGAAGGAGAAGTCCAACCAGGCAAGAGAAGCAAAACAGTCAAATGCTCTAAGTGTGGATGCTTTGGGCATAATAAACCAACCTACAAGGGAGGCTTAACTGGGAAAGAGTTGAAGGCATCTGAGCCTGTTGTCATAAAAAACCCAAGGGTCAGAGACCAATCAAATGCAACAAAAGCAGCAAAAGCAGCAAATAAGTCTGTAGCCACTAATCAACCAGCAACAAAGCCTGCAGCAACTTCCAAGAAAGCACAGGGAAAGAAAGGAAAACAGTTAGCTGATGCAGCAATAATTTTGACAGCATCACAAATGCCTAGCCAGCCAGTCAACTTGTCCCAATCAAACTTAGATTCTCAATGCTTTTAAGTGCTACAGAGCAGTACATTAGAAGTTGGTGTTTTTAGCAGTGAAACATTTGGTTTTGTTTAAGTTATCTTGGGTTTTTTGAACTTAACTTGTCTAGTTGGTACATATGTGTTTTTACCAATGTTCCCAAACATTTGAAATTATCTATTTTACTGATATTAATGAATATAGCCAACTGTGGCCATTTTTTCTATTTTAAGTTGTCCTTATTTACATTTAATGGAAAGTAAAAGAACTCGTACATAAGAAACACAGATAATTGCCAATTATTCGAAATTTCCATTCATTAACCCACAAAATACAACCTTTAACTATTCATAATCTAACAATTACATGGCAAAACTAAAAGTTGCAGAACACAAATCTCATTTCAGAGAAATAAAGAGTAGGATCAGGTACATGACAAGACCAATCCTAATAACCATGTAAACATAGCTTGCAAACTCATACGCTCTTTTGGTAAAATCAATGAATTCCTCTCTTAACACTCTCACATTAGATGAGTCATCAAGACTTCCCATCAATTGTTCTTCAGAAACCCACACGAACAAACCACAATGCCTACACTTGTAATATGGTTTCCCTGGATTCGAAATCGACTCAGAAACCCTAATGTCTGCAGTTTTTGGTGGATTGCAGTTGCATTGAATGCGTTTGACCCACATGGATCTTCCATATCTCCGGCCACAAGTTGAACCACCTGCAGAACTAGCCATGTCAGAGAAATACAGAACAAGAAGTGGAGAGAAGAGAAGAGAAGAGAAGAGAAAAAAATTGCAGCAATGGAGGGAAAGCAAAATGGAGAAGAGAAGAGGAAGTGGCACATTTATATGGAAGTCATAGGGTGAACGTTTTTGGTGGGAAATAACAGACATTTTAAGGGGGAAAAGTTGGAGGGAAAGCATTTAAATGGGGGCATACAAGTCTTTTCAGTTTATATTACACCTAATAACCTAGAATTACTAAGTTATTAACAATTTATTAACAGACTAATCACGGTTGTTAAGAAGTCATAAACTGGGGTGTACCACCAAGAAGTCAAAAAAAAAATGTGGTACCACTGGGAAAAGTCAAAACCTGAGTGGTACCAATGGGAATTTCCCTATTTTTTTTTTGCTGGAATTCCACCGTGCCACGATGAAAACTGCCGTGACACGGTGGAACTCCTCCACGGGAGTTCCACCGTGTCACGGCAGTTTCCACCGTGTCACGGTGGAATTCCAAAAAAAAAAAATTGGTGAATTGTTCCGTGGCGCAGTAAAATTGGACTTTGCGAATTCTGTTATTTGTTCGACATTTGTTATTATTCTTCCATTGCGTCTGACTTCTTGACTCGGATATATATAAAAAAAAATAAAAAAAAGTCATTGTTATTTAAGGCGAAAATAAATATGCTATTATTGAAATAAATGTGACTACAATTATTGGCATCATGCGCCTTATTTTAAAAATAAAAATTATAAATCATATAAGCAAAGCAATATTGATCTAATCCTTCTTCACTTTAGGAACCTCCTTCTCTTTTTCAATTAGGTCGGCCTTCACCATTAACGTGTCTTTTGTAGCCCGAACAGTCACACCCCTAGTCGAACTTTCATCCCTTTCACCTTTCTTAGAAATCTTTGATTGCTTCTCTCAATAAACCATCTTTTCCTTACCCTTTCCTTTCACATCATTCTTCTTTTTAGGAATTATAGGAGTCTTAAACTCAATTCCTTGTGTTTTCGGACCTAGACGATCTTTAGAAGGAGCCTTTTTACTTCCAAGATGTCCCTTTACATCAAAGTTACGTGATTCGACTCGATCCCTTATACTTCTAGGATTCAACCAGGCCTTGTATGCACTAGATAAGGGAGGAGGAGCTTGGTTACTTGCAGAAATAGTCCACAAAGGTCTTCCAATCCAATAAGCCTCGTACTCGTGAATGTTTCTTTCATGCAACGATACTTCACGAGGACTATCGTTATAACGTGGAACTACTTGTTCAAGTCCATATTGTTGCATCAATCGAGAAGGACAATAAAAAGTCAGCTTTAAAATACTAGAAACGTGACAATACAAAGTATCATTCGTGCCAACCATCCTAGTAAGCCTCCACCAAGGCACCACCCACCGAATGGAAAATTCTCTCTTTGCAAAGAAATTCTTCCAATCATCATATGACATGTTTGTAGAGTAATTCTTCTTCCTGCGGACTAGATTGTTGGGACCATATTTTTCAATATCTTCGGGGGCTTCAAAAAGTTCTAAACGCTCCATCAACCAAATCTGCAACAAAAAAAAATTCAAAACAAAAAAAAATTGCAAAAAACCACCGTGACACGGCAGACATGCTCCGTGACATGGTGCTTGTTTTGTGTCACGGGGGCTACTCAAAGCATGTTTTTACCTGCAACAGTACTATAGAGCCCTTCTTGACGGCTTTCCAGCCAGCTTTTGCTTCGTCAATGCCGCGCAAAGTTTCTCTTAGGCACGTAGGCATAGGAGATCTCCCAGATTCAACATGTTCAAGCACAGACGCTAAACAACCATGTCCTACCTTACTGTTTGAAAATAAAAGCTTGCTAAACATGCAAAAAATATAAGCCCTTCTACGGTATACATGATAAGATTCAGAGACAGGGCGATTGAAATACAAATTTGCAAGTTTTTCTAACTCTACCTCATTACCACACACTTATTTAAATCTGACTCTGTCAGATTCAGATGGAGTTCAAAGTCTTGGTAATAATACTCATGTAGGGTACGCATGGCAATGAGATTTCTGGCAGGAAACCCAAAGATGGCACCGAATTTCTCCGGCAGAAGACAAATTTCATCGTAATCAAATTTAAAACAATGTGTTTCTAGACTCCAATAGTCTAAAGCTGCCCTAAGAAAATCATGTTCGATCGCTACATGTCTCAAGGCTAATAATCCTCTGACATGAAACAATTCCAACTCTCTTTTGTCAGCATTGGTCAAAGAATAAGACCAGTCGCGCAATGTATTATCAAAATTCTGAGACATTATTATTGAAATATGAAATTCTAATTATTTTATGTTTCTTAATTATTCATATCGCGAATATACTGGTCGTATTTTATAGAAAAAACGCTTAAAGATACTCAAAATCTATCTTTCTACACGCGCAAACCACACCGTTGCAGAATACGCGCACCATGACACGAGAATGCCCACCGTGTCATGGCATACGAGAATTTATGCCGCGACACGGCAGTCAACCAATTTAGCATAATAACAGTTTGGAGCAAATTGAATTTTTGTTTGTATGCCTTTAAGATAGCAGGAATCACTTTTCACTATAACAATCGAGTAGAGGCCAATACGGGCAAATGTGACTCCATGACTCACTTCGTACCATCATCCCCGATCCTCCTTTTGTGGTTCCGAGCCATATGGAGTTAGTAATCTCATGGATTATGAATGGGGTGTAACCTTCACGGGTCAGTCGTTGTTGCCTTCGTTGTCCCTTTATCGTGGTTGCCTTTTATGATCCGTGAACGGTTTACAAGTTCCTTACAAACTTGTTGGCGGCTTCCTACTTTCCTTGTCCCTAATTGTGTTATGTAAATTCCCACTTCCTATGAGTGCCAAGCATATTCACAACATGCTTTTTACGTAGGCGCACTTCGAGCGACGCCTACAACAAGGCATAAAATACTATTATTATGCAAACATGCTTTTAAAATAATAATTACTCCAATTTAAACTTGCCACAAGTTACTTTCCAAAATTAGACTTTCCAAATTTAGAATTTTTAAAATTTTCAATTTAAGACATTTTAAAAAAAATCAATTTTCCTCACTTAAGTGTGCACACCCCCCAAACAAGTTAAACTATACTCGAGAAAAGACCAGATCATACAAAATTGATGATCTTGGTAGAGCAACACTAAATATTAAATACTATGGCTCATAATTAAATTTAATCTTTAAATTGATTCCTCTAATTCAATAACTTGTAATTAAGTGATTTATAAACAACCTTTTATAAAATTAAAGAACACTTTTAAAATCAAACTTTTAAATCATAAAATTATATTTCAACACAAAAAAATTATCATTTCAAGTCTTCTATACGTAACATTAATTTTAAACAAATGTTAATTTAAACATTCACCAAAACATGTATTCAGAACTTGTATCAAGGAACAAGCCACCTATACGTACCTTGATCATGGAAGATCAAGGTACGGCTACGCTTGATCATGATCGAGAGTATCCTCCAACAAATTAAAATAACCTTAATTAATACTACCTCCGTTTCTTTTTAGTTGAAACGTATTCATTTTTATAAAGTTTGTTTTAGTTGACACATTTCCTTTTGGGGTAACTTTTTTACCTTCCATTTACAAGTAAGCTACATGTAGACACCTAAAAATGTCTCCCCAAAACCAAACCCGATGATGAAAAACCTTTCACCCCCATTATTAGTCGGGTTGAGTATTTAACCTTGGAGTGCTTAAATCCATATTTTCATTTCATAAAACAACCCAATTCCTAGCCCATATCCCCAAACCATAAATCATTTTCCTATTTTTGTGCCTTTAAACCCAAAATAATTCATTTCGCGTCCCTTAAAATCATTAATTTCGTGTCCTTTTAATAAAACGTTTATACCAGTCTATTTTGGTCAATAATATGGGTTCAATTATTGAATAATTGGATGGGGAGTGAAAAGAGCTTTCAAACGATATATTATAAACTCAAATCCGAGTTATAACGAATAAGTTATGACAAAAATATTAAACTGAGCTCAAACCGAACCTAAGCCTACTGTACCTACGACCCAATGATTATGTGAAGGGTCCAAATTATTTAATCTCATTCCTAAACCAATTAGGATTAATTGGAAGCTTCTATAAGTTTCTAAAAGATCTTGATTATCCTTTATTAAAAGATAAGATTTAAAACTTTGAAATTGAATAAAACTTTTCTTTTTGAAAGTCCTAATTCTATTCGATTTTAAAGACGTTCGAAGATAGACAGATATTATTT